GCCCCCGGTGGCACAGCGGTATGTCAACGGACTTACAACGCTAGAAAGCGGGTTTTGATACCCGTGGTTGGCAGAGCACAGATAGCCCGTTGTGTAGCTTTGTGCTTAACTTCAAACAAACAGGTGAGACAGTAGACACCCATAAGCAAATACTGTGAACCATGAGATAGTGAACCTCTCTGATGTTGCCCATGGCTCGTGATGATACCTGGGGTCACAGAAGGACATACAATGAGTTGCTCTAAACAGCTTGTTGCCATGCTGACCTGGACCAGAGACAGATAGCCTATCCAAGTATTGGCATCCTTGAGTATGTCAGTTGCTCAGCACCCATGTCATTGGCGACATCTCAGCCAAGGGAAAGGCTTTGGCCCGCAACACATAATGAGGCCAAACAGATGAATAGACTCAAGAATCGGTTGTGTTCCATTAGGCTGACTTCAAGCCTCAGAAAATGGCTAACACTGAAGGACTAGCCACCTGTAAGAATGGCCTGTGCTAGTTGCACGGGAAGACTACCTGGCAATGACATCTATAAATCAGAAGGATATATTCATAGACAAGCTCACTGAGTGTCTCCTCATAGAAACCATGAAGAAATACCTGTGTGTGAGGGACATCCTCACTTTAATTTAAACAGAGAAAAAGCCTGACAGAACATAGTACACCTCAGACAAACCAACATACTCGGGTACCTATACCACATGGGGCTAGATCCATACCAAAAGTTAACCAGCCTCTCACATATCCTGGCACTGTGTGCACCCACAGTTGTTTCAAGTATATCGGCAGTGATATCCAGCTCCACCTATTGGCTACAGTCAATACCAATGATGTTGCTGCAATGATGCGTTGGTAAAAGAGCTGCACATACCTTGCTGAGCAGCAAAGAACACAGGGTGGTTGGTTCCAGCTATCCTAGCAGATGCCTTCTAACCCATAATACCACTACTTTGCCAAGCAGCAAATTAAGCAAGATTATTGGTATTGGCCAAATCATCAAGTCCAGGATAATCAACAACAAACAATGAATTCTGTGGCAACTCTTCTGGAAAATTGATGAAGCCAAAGTCGGGTCAGCTTAGGGGAGGACAGTGGAATACTTGCATCACACAATTAAGTGGACAGCCGAGTTCTATTAGGGCTGGGTGGAGTTTGGTATATTTGTGACGGTACAAGGGCAAAAAGTTGAATTCCTGATTGAACAAAAGTAGTAATAACACCAGTGGACCTTGCAATTTTTTAAGTCCCCCAAATGAGACCATCACTCTAGCCAGTTGATACTGACTTTTTACTGGAAAATAGTGACAGAGTAGATATTAGAGGAGAGGTAGATCTCTTGTTCTGCCTAGAAAATGTCACTCGCAGAAAGATGGATGTACTGCAGAAGTTATCCACCAGTTTCTCCTGTGCAACAGAGAATTGATGTTTTATAGGAAGGTCAGCTAGATCAAACCCAGGATTTCATGAGAGTATGTAGAACAGGGAATAACAGTACATCTGTATTTACAAATGATATTATGTGGTTGAAATGAACTGTTTCCTTTCCAGTAAGCAAGTCAGAAAGTCACGTGTCTGACGAAGAATGAAGTCCCTTGTTGTTTTGTAATTACTGGTGCTGAGCGATCCATCTGTACACTACAATAGAGACCTGATCCAAGACCATCAGAGTCGACATGGAGAAGTTAACTTGTAAATGTAAAGTTAAAACGATGTAGAAATGAAACACATTTGAAATGTGCTAGATGTTATTGTGAATGTGATGGTTTATGTGTAACAATTAAGCTAAACCATGGATCAGAGTCAGAAGATGGAAGAACTTATTGAAATATATCCAAATCGATTTCACATACAAGCTGAATTGGAGATTCGTCAATTGATTATTTCATTGACAGTAAAATATATAAAACAGGCACAATAATATCACTAACTCCAAATGTGGGGATTGGAATCATATATAAAAAATTATTGGCCTCAATATTTTGTGAAACTAACAGCACAGTAAAGCTCAAGGATGCAGTATTGAAGTTGAAGCAGATGCGCGATGCATTACAAGATTATATCCCTAGCAATTCTCAAACTTAAAATGCCATATCTACAATGAATAGTAAATATAAGAAAGATGTTACAATGCCCATTATAGTACCACCATAGTACAATCCATATAGATTTCATCGTGTTATATTTTCATTAATATTTAGTTTTCTTAGAAGTTGTGCCAAGCTTCATTCATTGAGATCTATTGAAATAAATCACCAGTTTCCCAAATGACCCCCACCCCTATTGACCATCCTAGGCTGAGCACTAAACGATTCTGAGCTGGCTCGTGTGGCAGGTTTTAAAAAACGAACAATTTTACCAAATACTTTCTTAACATTGTCCCATTATAAAATAAAGTTTTGAGGCATGAAACTGCTGGTTGTAAGTGTAATAGAAGAAGATGGAAGGTATCACCCATGCAGTGAATCCTTGTAACTCATACCCTGACTATTACACAATTTGTAAATTAAAAGAAGTTTCAAGAGAAGAAAATGAAAACATTGGCAAGGGCTAATGGTCAAAGGTGAATTTGGCATGCTTTACCCAAGTCAGCTCATCTGTGTAGGAACCTTGTAGCCTCGACCCCCTATTCCTTCCAATTGAACCTGAGCACTTTTGGTACGACAGACAGAAGTGAGATTAAGGAAGTGGCTGTGGTGGCGAGTATGGCGTACATACTCTAGTTGACAGGTGTGTACAATAAAAGGTAGCACATCAAGAGATAGCTGGTCAAATGGAAACCTTGGGAAGTTTGGAGGTCAGGAAGTCCACTAGTTCCTCAAACACATATTCTACTGAAAAGGTGGGATGTAAATATACATTAGACCTGTAGACATGTCCTTTGACCAGTGCCTCTTTCCAGGTTGTAGCCAGGTGTTAAAACTTTCTTAACCTATAGACGTGGCTAGACTTTTGACCAATTAGAACTTGGTCAGTATTTACATTTGAACTCAGACTTCCAATATTTAAGGTGAAGCTCCAGTCACATCAGTCTTTCTTATGCACATTTGAACTTTTCCCTGAGCTGAATAGCATTTCAATGTTTCTCTTCTAACATTCCAATGCCAGTTCCAAAGCTTTCTTCATTCCAAAACTGTGGTAAGAATGGACTCATAAGGGCTCACTGAGGCTCATATGGGAGGGCTAACTGAGTCAGTGAATGACCTGGTGCTGACATCTTGTGTGATGGTCAAGAACTGAGCTGCTACTGAAGAGTTTAAAGACTTCCATGCCATGAGTGTGTTGCCTTCAGCAGGACCAAGCTCCTAGTTTGCTCAACAACTGGGACCAGTTGAGGTGAAACAAAAGAAACAGATGATCTGTACCATTGTGAGGTAAAGTGCTAGCCCTAAGAAAACCTACCAGAAAAGTTTAAGACAAGGCAGACTCTAGCAGGACAACCAAGCGAGTGAGGACCACAGCTACCAAGTGAGGAGTAATGACAGCAAGCCAGACACTTGTCCACTTATCTAGCAGTGTAAGGGGGTCTCACCTTCTAGGGATTAAACCATTCAGAGGAACTGCTGGATGTATGCCACATTCATCACTATAGTTCCACCGTTGCTGAGTAAAACCTGGAAATGACTCAATTGGACCTCATGAGGTTCATGATAGCTTATTGAAAGATGGATGTGAGAAGGGGTGGAGCCTTGATCACTTCTGGGTGCGGCAAATAGAACTTTTTCATATGTCATTGTGTTGGGTACATGAAAATTTATATTTGTGTCAATTTTCCTCTTGATTGCTGTAAATTGTACAGAGCTCAAAATATATATTTTTGGGTTGTTTGATCTTTTATCCCATAAAATCTTTAAGGCCTAAAGAAGAAAAAAAGGTGTCTGGTCGTATTGTACCAGGGTATAACCCTACAAAGTTTGAAGTCAATCTGCCGAGGAATAAAGGATTGGCATTCGATTGAAAAGTGTTTAGAAGGAGAAAAAACAATATAAAATCAGGAAGTCTCTCTGCAGAGACATAATAATAGTTTTATTCGTGACGTTATTTCTACTCAACTCGAAAAACTTCAGTGTCAATTTTCAGAGCAATTCCAAAAATCAACAGGAGAACACGATTGGATCTGGAATTCATTTAATGGCACCATAACTTCTCATCTGTCAATGGCAGCTCAAGAAAATCTCATAGAACTATCCAATGATAAAACTATTCAGGCAGGATTCAATTCAAATGCTCTTGGGAACTTCTGGATGGTGAAAGTGTTTTTGTCTTTCACATCAACATACTTGGCAGCAATCAAAACAAAACATCCAGGTAAAGGGAGATATCTGAGTTGTTGTGTCAACAATTGAGCCAAAAATGTATATCATCTTATTTCAAGCTCAAGCCCATCCTTCACACTAAATTGGTGAGTAAAATGAAACTGCTTGGCTTATGTTACGTACCATTTTAAGACTTGTTTTATTTTTATACGTTGTGGGGGGGGGGGCAAAAAACGCATATTTAGAAAAGGGCGCCATAAAAAAAGTTCGTGCACCACTGCTCTGACCTACGTTACTTGGGGAAGAACCCACACTAACTGGAGCTCATTTGTTTATTATAGTCTTCATCGCTCTTGTTAGTCCCACACCCTTTATTTACACACAAACTCAAGATCACTTGCCCGACTATGAGCAGTATAGCTGTTTGATGTATTGTAGTGCATTATTATTTGTGTTTTAAACCGTAAGATTGTCATTAAACATTTGTTCTGTTTATAAATCCTGTGACTTCTCTGTGGCAACTCGTTATGAAATATACGCCAAAGCCCGAGAGCCTCCAGTTGTTAGCGGGCCTAACTTTTCTACTTTGTTGGTCATCTGCGAGACACCACAAACATATCACAGCATTCCTGCGTTACACGTGCAGATCAATCAATAATGATTTCAAACAATTCAGAACCGATATTCCTAATCTTTCGGAATGTTACCAGGAAATTTTTAATACATATAATTTCTACAATGAAATATACACACATGCTGTCTCTTAGTCTCAAGAATATAATTTTTAATATTTAATACCAACATACATTTTTGGAGATAGCGTTGTATATGTATTTATTGCATAAATTCAGAATAGGTATAACTGGGCTAACGCTTGAGATATCAGTTTACCAACGCAATAATTATTAAAAGATTTTTGTTGATGATGATGATAATTTTAAAAATAAAGTTTGAACACTTCGAAATGTATTATTTTGTATTAGATAATATGCAAATTAATTTTAAAAATAAAGTTTGAACAGTTCGAAATGTATTATTATGTATTAGATAATATGCAAATTAATTTTTATTTTTAACTTTTCTCAATATTTATGATGAAGCTGAAAAATTAAAATGTAAGGTACATGGTTCAGTGCAGACTTAAATTCACAAAGAATGAATAATACATGGCGTGACATATCAAGCACCCCCACCTCCCGGTGGCTCAGCAGTAAATCTGAGGGCTTGTAGTGCTAAAAATCGGGTTTCGATACAAGCGGTGCGCAGAGCAAATAGCCCATTGTGTAGATTTGCGCTTAACAAAAAAAACACATAAAAATCCAAGATCACCACATTTGTTAGCCTCTTACTTAAGTTTGCTGTGATTAATAGGTAAGGAGGCAATGCTATCGCCAGAACGGTGTAAAACAAGGAGTTAAGCCTACGTCTTTGATGCCGTCAATACATCAGCACAAAATAAACTGCAACAAATTTTTTGAGTAATGTATATATATACAGAAATATATAATTCACTAATTTTACACCGACTTCTCCCTCATCTCCTTCTTACACCTTTTCTCACTAACCACAGGACTGTTTCTATTATTATTCCACAGTTCTTCATAATCCAGGAAGAAACATATAAAACGTTAGGCTTAACACTACAGAAGGTATAAAATAGACAATTTTCCTTCTGCAATCTCTATTGATTTTATCAAGAATATTAAGCCTTTTGATTTCCAATATTTCTGCAACTTTGGGTGGTCGAATCTTAACTATAAAAATTATTTAGGGTAATATCATCTACTGCTGTACAATAATGCAATGTGTATTCATTGTAGTATATAAACCTCATTTCGACAGAAGTTACACAAATATTTCCTTCTTTCGTATCCTCCGATGGGTCAGTGGTACGTTTACACACTTACAATGCTAAAATCTGAGGTTCTATCATTTGCAATGGACACAGCACTGTGAGTTTGAGATAAGACAAACACATTCCTTCTTTCGCTGAGTATTACAAATTTAAAGAGGGGAAATCAATTGTTTGTTTTTTATTGGCAACTAAGTTTTGTTGACTTTTTTTTACTATTAGTATTATTTAGGTTTTTATTTTAAAGCACTTACGGATGATATTTGAAACGTTCTTTCACTTCTCGACACTTGAATTTTGAATAACTAGGTTTTGTCTGAAATGTTTATAGATATACTTTCACAATTTCCAGATTGGTAGCGAAACATGTAACTTACAGTAAAAGTCCCTGCAGAAAAATATCAAAAGATATGGAATGGTATTCAAATAAATATTCGAAAAAGTTACAAAGTACCTCAAAAACGTATACTTGTTTTATTTGCTACATTTCAGACATATGAGCTTCGTCAGGCTTAGCTTCTAAAAATACACAATATAAAATGCACACACTCGCCTAATGCTTGAAGCGACATCCGTGAAGAGAATCGAGAAATAATGCTTTTATTATTGTCAACTTGTGATTTATTGTTATTATTCCGATTTGTATAATTTGTTGTATGATAATGTGATTTTCAGAGAAATTTCATGAGTTTTCATTAAATGATTAGTGAGTACTAGCATAAATAATTTCCCCGTAGGACAATACACGTCATTTTCCTTTATATTCTTATAATTGCAGGCTTCCCGTTTCCACGTCCTGGCAGGAAGCATACCTCTCCCCTAAAATATGCTGTATCGGTAAAGTCTACTAACAAATCATCGTGTCCTAAACAAGACGTATTTCATGAATCAGGACCGATCTTGATGCGACCAGCGTTGTCTCAGGTATCGATGGATCGCTGTACTCAAAAATGGACCCGACAGGTGCCGAACAATGATTTCCAGTGGAATGTGTCCGGTGTTAATAGTGTAAATAGTGAACGTGAGTCAGACGTATGGGTGGGTCTCAATAACACATCGTTGAGCACAGTGTTGAGTGATGAAAGGCCAAACAAAAGCGTGATGTTTCGTAGTATATCGACGTCAGCCTTGCTTGAGGTTGGCTCACAGCATTCGCAGTTAGAACACGATAACGAGTTTGGATCTACAGAGCGTTTGTCGAGCTCACTAGAAGTTGGAAGTTCGTATTTGCCAACCAAAACTGTCAGCTGCGATAACATAACAGACCAACTCAATCCGCTAGACGGCGCGACTTACCAATTGACTAAGGCTAAATCACAGCTGGGCACAGTGTTTGAAGAGGAAGTTTATCTCGACAACTTATCACGACAGACCGGGGAATTTGAAAGTAGCCAACCGCTCAATCATTTCTCTACAGCTGAGGATAATGCTAGCTTGGCAAGTTCAGTGCAGCACCGATCTGACGAGTCAGGGTATGAAAGTGATGGTATAAAAAATATTCACGACGATTCTTCGACTGCCGAGAAAAAGCAACACGACTTTAATATGGGAACAGATATACCCACATCAACTAGTAAAAGTTTAATACGTATCTTTAGGACAAGTGAAAGAAATCGATCTGAATCATCAAAAGAAAACTGCATGTATCCTCTACGTAAAACGTCAGATGGTAATCTCCAGAAATTTGCTGCTATACTTCAGAAATTTAAAAGTCAGAGCTCCGTGTCATCTAATGTCACAAGCGTGGACCAGATTAGGTCTCGAAGTACGAGCGAAAGCCGGGCCTCGTCCAAATCTCATGGAGACGTTAAAAGTTTACGGACATCAGGTATTCTGTCTCAATTTGTCCTGAAAAGTAAAGAAAACACCAGTGTTTGTAAACCTGAAAGAATAACAGACTCTACTCATAATGTGACGAATTACACAGAAACAACTAAAAATGCCACAAAGAAGGAACCAACACGTCTTGGACACTTTAAAGCATGGACTTTGGATCGTAAACTACTGAGAAACAGATGGAAAAAGCAACATAATTCGGAATCTGATGACTATCAGAAGATCGAAAGTATCTCTCCAAAACGAACTAGTATATTCAACTCATCTTTGTTTCTGGACACAGCTCAAGAAAAACGTGACTATTGTAATTCAGCAAATACTTCACATAAGCTTGAACACAAGGGTAACGCAGAACAAGAAACAAGCAAATCCAATTTATGTGGTGATTTAAATTATCAACTAAGACAGAAAAAAGCTGGTCACAAAATGGCTTCTTCCTCTAGCGACATTAGGAAGGAGTGGTTACAGTCTCGTTTGTGCACTGAATCAAAATCGGAAGGGTCCGCGTCCAAAGGGTCAACACTGAGTTATGAGGAAGGCCTTAGTTCGAAACCTGTTTCTTCAGACACCGACTTAAACTTACAGGGGATTGGGAATCATAGATACGGCGCTTCAGAATCTTATATGAAATACAAGACGCTTAGAGTTACTTTAGAGAAAGACGAGCAGGGAGAATTAGGAATTTATATTAGAAGAAGAAGGGAAGATGAGAGAGATGTTGCAGGTTATGTCATAGTGGCACTCGAGAAGGATGGACCAGCGGACAGGTAAAATTTAGTTAATCCGCATACACAATTATCTCTATAAGTTTGAGTTTTCCTTATGAAGTACCATAATGTTATGTATAGATTAGAGATTTGTATGATATCTGGTATTTTTATACTGAAGGACCTAGTCTGTAATATATATGCTAGAGTTTTTGTTCGATTGTATTCATATGTATTTTTATTTTTATGTGTTTTATCTAAATAATAAAATAAGTCATTTTTCAGGCTTAAATACACCTAGATGTATATACTATTGTTTTCGCATTCTACCTAAAATATAAGTTATATTTCTTTAGTTTAGACCTGTCTGAATTTTCCAAATAGTTGTCTGTTACAGGGTTGACGAAAACTAAAAGGAATTTGTAAATAGTCCATCAATTTGTGTCGCTCTTAAATTAGTGTTCTGGATAATATTATTTGTATCGTCAGTAATAGTGTAGCAGGACTGGTCGTTAGGAAATCTTGATTAGTAGAACTGAGTGGTATAAATTCTTGTACATAAAACAGTCCCTGTAATATTGTTGATTAAATCGCATGTTTGGAAGAACCTATAAATAACAAAACTTGTGTTACAGAATTCGTACAAACTAAATGTGTAGATGTACGTGTAACTAACACAGTCTTTGTTGCAAGTATAAACTAAGTTTGTAGTGGGATTGTAAATATAGTCTCTGACCCCCTCTCCTCACCAAACTGTTGATTCAAAATTCTGGACAATATTATTAGAAGTAATTTGGTGGGATTTACAACCAAATCTTTTCTACTCTCTGACCTCAAGCTGACTCTTCAAACATAAACTGGAAAATACCTTGGTTATTTCTAACAGTGGTTCCTCCCATACCATTAAAGGGAAGCAAGGACAGGAGTAAAAGAGCATAAACTGGAAAATACCTTGGTTATTTCTGATTATGGTTCCTCCCACTCCTGTTCTTGCTTCCCTTTAATGGTATAAAGGAGCATAAACTGGAAAATACCTTGGTTATTTCTGATTATGGTTCCTCCCACTCCTATCTTTGCTTCCCTTTAATGGTATAAAGGAGCATAAACTGTAAAATACCTTGGTTATTTCTGATTATGGTTCCTCCCACTCCTATCTTTGCTTCCCTTTAATGGTATAAAGGAGCATAAACCGGAAAATACCTTGGTTATCTCTGACTATGGTTCCTCCTACTCCTGTCCTTGCTTCCCTTTAATGGTATAAAGGAGCATAAACCGGAAAATACCTTGGTTATCTCTGACTATGGTTCCTCCTACTCCTGTCCTTGCTTCCCTTTAATGATATAAAGGAGCATAAACTGGAAAATACCTTGATTATTTCTAACAGTGGTTCTTCCCACCGCTACTTTTCAATACGGTGGCATATTATTATTTTACGGAGGTTATCTGTATGAACAAAATGTGTAGATACTCTTGTAAATACACTACGGGCAAAATGGTTTGAATAAACGTATAGAAGAACTTGTAAATAATACAGCTGGTCTGTATAACAACACTCGTGCAAATGAGTGTGTATATGTTCTTGTAAATGGTACAGTTTACGTGCTGGTTTCGTGAATAAAACTAAATGTTTAGAGGAAATTGTAAACAGAATAGTCTCGTTAGATTCACGATAACTAACGTATTTGTAAATATCATTCTCTGGATGAAGGTGGTGGTAACTGAAAGTTTTGAAACTAGCAACGTTAATATTGAAAGTACCATGTTAATTTGCAAGCTAAAACCGAAACCTATTCGCAGACTTCCACCTTCACTACATATTACTGCAGCTTCCTGGTTTTGATTTTTTAATGCCTCTTGGTATTGTTCGTGAGTATTAGAATAGAGGGCGTGGTATAGACAGTCATGGACGTTGGCTCAGCACATTTCCTGCCTAGGACCTTATGGTTCTTTATCACAAACTGTAACTTTACACGTTACGTTCAGTTTTGTTTTTCAAACACCTGCCACACGAACACTTTACGAACTGCTGACAAAATAAAATAACTCGTGTGTTTTGTTGTTGTTTACATTTACTGACAAAAACTATGTATTTTATAACTAAATAGTATAAAAACTTGTGTAATAATTGTGGTATTGGACAAGCTTTATTCAAAGGAGTAGTTGATTAATATAAAGGATTTTTTAAATCCATTATAAACTGTAATTCTTAAATAAATTCCATAAAAACAGTTTGGAGTACTTTATATAATGAAGACTCGGTGTTTCTAAGTAAATAAACAGTTACGTACACTGTTCTTTCTAACTTTCGGTCCAGGTGTTCAACATAAGAAGAAAGATAATCTCTTTATTTAAATCAGGAAGTGTGCTACTTAACCCACATTCTTTCTCAAAAACACCTGCTAGTTAGAGTGCCGGATTATGGATCCGAAATTCTGTAGTTCACTCCTCGTTACCGAAATATAATAACAATAATAGAATAAAAAACAGCATTGTGCACTTTGAGGCCAGTTACTCTTATAAAAAGTAACTGTCAAATCCCACTACTCTCTCTCACAGGTGCTAGTAGCCCAAGAGTTGTGGTGGGTGGTGTTGACTTGCTGCCCTTCTACTAGTCCATCACTTCAAAATTAGGAATGAGTAGCGCATATAACCCGTAAGTAGCTTGGTGCACAAACCAACTTACTCAAAAAAATAAAAACAAAGAAGAATTTACCTTCTAAATATGAATGCTACGCCTGACTATATCATGATAAAATACAAAAATCACACATACTTCAAATTAAAGCAATGGTTTCCAAACTTTTTTTTTACTGACACCCTAACCCACTTACCTTGATTTACGCGACACCTTTACTGCCACATGCAATATTTTTTGTCGAGTTTTTCTTATTTTCTTAATTATTCTTCGTTTGGTGAAACCACTGGGTAGTACCACGATTCTCTTTCACTGTAAACATTACTACAGATGGCATTGAATGAGAATCTGAAATGCCTGTTTTAAAACGTGTTAATATATCGACACAGTTGAAAACATGAAATATTCCTGAACTCCAGGAAATCGTTTTTATTAGGATCACTCCTAATTTAAACCTTGTATAGAATATCGAGTCATTCAAATCACATATGGCAATGAGCTGGCGAAACAATAAAGCTCTATAGGCTTAACAAAAGTTATAAGATCACTGTCGATTGAGTTATTTTCTTCGCCACCTTATAATCCTCATAATTACGATAATCAGACGTATGTAAAAACACATATTCGAGACTTATAGTTTGCTCGATATAAAATCATTACCCAGGAGACCCTGACTATAGTGAGGTAGAATATCCATATTCAGGGTTAATTCGTTCCATTTTTATCAACATTGTAAAACCTAAAAAAGATTAAGTATAATTTGACATTTGGTAGGTAATTATTTACTTCTTTTCGGTTTGTCGATAATTCTAAAACAATTTATTTATAGCTTTACGAGTTATTTCGTATTGGTGTTTAGGGTTAAGGATCTATGTTTTTCATACCTGTGCTATAAGTAAATTGGTATATTTTATAATACATTTTGATTTAATTGATAACTAAGCCAAGTACTGTATTTCTAACTGTTTTCATTACAAAAAATTTAATATCCTGCTACTGCATATATGTTTGAACAGCATGTATGATAACTATCACTTATTACGTTCTTGGGACAGATGATACTGTGGTCAGAGTGAAAAGGGTAACTGTGAGTTATGAATCTGTCGGAAACAACGTTTAAACAAGTTTTGGGCGGGCGTGGCCTAGAAGTTAGCGTGCCGGGCTGCGAATCTAAATGTCTGAAGCTAGAAATACGGTGCCAATGAACACGCTCCATATTTCAGCGGTAGAAGTGTTATTAGAGTGACAGTCAATTACGTTACTTAACTCACAATACCAATACAGTTATGTAATTTCAATGGTCTACAAACTAGGAATATGCATTACCAGAAACGATTTTTACAAGAAAGGTTTTACAGTGATTTTTTAATTCCAAACACTGATAAAGGATTATAGTATGTTATTTTATAAGTTATTTAAATTCGTTGTTTATGCACCGTGGTATAGATTTTAAAAAATCTAAGATCATATATTGAAACAATTTCAGGACAAATTTATCACCCGAGTGCATCAAAAATTGAAATACAGATTCCGTTTAATTTATGGTTGAATAAATTACCATATTTCCCATCCCTTGCTTCTTAGTTCTAACATGACAAGTAAGTGGATAAGTATGCGACTGTCATTCTGCCAGTAGAATTACTTTAACTGCCGATGGTAGCATCCACATAAATTATATATAGAGAAAGCACTACTATGACTAAATATACTGGACCAAATTGCCCTCCATTGTCACAGTGGAATTACAACGCTAACAACCGGGGCAAAGCACGGGTAGCACATTGTGTAGCTTTGTGCTTAACTTCAAACAAATAGAATCAACTCTTACGTATTATATCAGCTTTTATAAATGCTGTGTTGTTACTCGTTTTGTGTTTCTGAACAGAGCTAGTATCTCTTAGAAATTATAAATTAAATATCTCTTATAGATGACAAATGATCAATCAAAAAGTTCCTCTTGTTTCATAAGAATACATAACATATAATAAACAAAGCAGTATGTATTATATGGGCACATTACCCTGTAGGGATTACTTTGAACTATAATGTATTGAACTTACTGATATACTGCTAAAATTTATTTACGCTTCAACTCATTGTTAAATTAAGATTAGTAATAATATTGACGAAGAGATGGCAGCACAATGTTGAACAATATATTTTTTCATCTTTGACTAAAATATACAATTAAAAATAATCGTAATTTAAATTATTATGAGGTAAAAGTAACTAAATGCTATTTACCTTTCATGTGAGATGGTAAAAAGTTCTTTATTTGCTAAAAAGAAGACTTTTATGTAAAAAATAATGATAAATACATTGTATTTCAAATCAACCTTTATGTTGTGGAAAAGTGCATTTTAAAACAAATATTTGTGATACCTGACTAAGACACTTTTCATGTAAAGAGCAAAAAACAGTTAAATTAGAATAAAGAAATAAGCCATATAAAGATGTGATATCTCTATTTAACAAAAGAGCCAATTTATATGAAATATATAAATATGTACCGTTAAAACGATTAAATTAAACAAGACAAGATTAGGGCAAATTTGCCCCTCCTTTTTCATTATAACAGGATCTAGCAGAAGAAGCCAAGTTCGTTCCAAGTGTGGCTAGTTTAACTTAATCATATTAACATTACATTTTGGCAGTTTTTGTAGATTACTTGTGTTTAGAGCTTAACATTTTATGTAACTTGGCTCTGTTGATATGACTGATCCCTTTATTCTAACTTGGCTGTTGTTTTACTCACATATAATGCTTTGGTTAGATAAAAACTAAACCAGTAATAATGCAGAGTGGGAAAAGTCTTATGTGCACGTAAATATCGTAAATGAAAATTTGTTGTGTGTATATAATATTTTATTTTAACTAAGTAGAGATTTCGGTTTAAGTCGTTTGACTCTGAAATCGGGAAGAATTCAAGGTCAAAGGAACCAGGGGTTGTTCAGAAAATGATTTATCTTCATTCAATGTATATAATATAAAACATAGTATCATTTTTATACTATTTGGCGTTTTCACCGGACCTCGTAGCTATTCTTTCTGGTTTTTCTGGACGATGTGCCTTCAGTATTATGAGAACCAACGATATAATTGAGAAAAAAAAACAACACAAAATGAGCCATAAGTAATAATGCTGTTCAAAATAATAAAACCCCTGATTGTTCTCTCAATATTCAAGAACATGTAATATTTGTGTTTGAAATGCGTGATACACGAACAAGGTGTTAACATTAGTTTTCTTATCGGGCATTCAGAGGATGATATATGTTTATTAACTGTGAGGATTTTGGAATTATACACACACACACACACATATATACAAGAAATTTACTAAAGGTCTCTTCCGAATATCTGTAAATGAAACCCTATAACGACTGATTCTTGTTAGGTATGTACAAGCTTGTTTTCTGACGACAAAATTGGTGACTGTTGCGGTTTGTCGTGGCTGCTCGTCCCCCGGTGGGATAGTGGTAAGTTTACGGACTTACAACACTGGAATCCGGGGTTTGATTCCCCGCGGTGGACACAGCGGATAGCCCAATGTGGCTTTGCTCTATGACAAACAAACAATCATGGCTGCTCCTTGTTTTCTTGACGAATTGTACTACGTAGTGCGTGCCATTTGTTAAATAAACTAATCATATCGTTATTTTTATAAGTTTGTGTTGTTTTTGAAAGGTTTTAGTGTCTTAAAACAAAGAGAGTAAATAAAAATATAAGTAGAAAGTTTTAAAACTTCAAATTCAGTTAATGTACGTGTAACTAACACAGTCTGTGTTACATGTATAAACTAAGTGGGATTGTAAATATAGTCTCTGACCCCCCTCTTCTCACCAAACTATTGATTCAAAATTCTGGACAATATTATTAGAAGTAATTTTTATGAATAAATGTTCATACGTATTGTGTTTGTTTGATTTGTTATTCAAAACCTTTTCTTGTCAAATATATTTAATATTCTAAGTAAAATATCCACAAAAGTATATTATAATAACATGTCTTATTTATTTGCCTGGTGTTCAAGGAGTGGACAACTGGAGAAAGGAGACGAACTGTTGATGATTAATGGAAAAAAAGTTCAAGGTGTGGACTTAGAAGCAGCACAACAGCTTCTTCATACTTTCGAAACCAGCGTTAATTTGGTAGTGGTACGGAAAGTAAGTGTATCTAGGCCTTATTCGCTTTACTAACCATGCTAAAAAAAAAGAAATAATGATAACAGTGTATGTATGTATGTAAATATAGATATATATACTGTGGCATAGGCCTAGTGGGGAGTCTGGGGGACAAGTCGTTATAACCAGTGATATATTGATATACAATTTGAATGAACGAATGGGAATACATTACTTTTGTATTTCTTTATATTTTATGTTTATGCATTAACTATATATATTATATGTCTTTAAAAAAAGTGTGAAAATGATATGGATGCTTGAGCATACAAGCATACTTGGTAGCTACGCCACTGATATATATATGTGTGTGTGTGTGTGTATACAGGGTTGAGTACTTTATATTAAAACGATTCTGAATATGCACGTCACGTGACAACCACAGCACATGTAAAGTCGCGGTGGAATGGAATGTATCACATCTGCATTTTGACTTTGTTTGGTATTTCGTAAGTAGTATGATGCCACCAAAAACTCATTGTTTTTGGGAAGAGCATGTAACAGCCCTCTCCAGAAGTTAAGTATTCACAAATCTAGATCATAAAGACGCGTTCAGATCGAGTATTTAGAATTTTTTAACACTGGAACATCCCTTCATTCCCTTGTAATTAATATCATTGGAAAACCAGGATCATCCCCCCCCCCCCCAGAATTCTGGCCCCAATAGTTTTTCGGACAAAAATCACCCAAAGTATTCTGGTAAAAGCTCCGTATATATCTATAACTTTTATATTTGCAAATTGCACCTTTTTAACCTTTTAGCGCCGTATGGTTCTGAATGAAAATCATTGGAACCTTTGTTTTTTTCAAGCGACTTTAAACCTTATTGTACATTATTTTAAAGACGATTTTGTATTTTCTGGCAAAACTTGCTTCTCCCCTCCCCCTGTCAAAATCAAGTCCCCTACGCTTATGGCTAGAAATTTAAATCTTTAATATCTTGCGAACAGAAAACAGTGACACCACTCATAAGAAACTTCGCCAGATACATCGCCTATTTGTTACCATTGCTAAATTGTGTTTACTGGATTTCAGACTATTTTAATCTAGTTTCTGGTTTAGAAAATTAGGATTTTACAACACATTGTTGATAACTTTGAAGAATTTTGGACGTTAACCACGCCTTAATGAATTGTGAACATTCAAATTTCTCATCTTAAAAATAATATCAGATACACAGAAAGCCTCTTACTCCATCGGCATTATTGGTTCATCCATAATGTGAAAAGTTTTCTTCATTATCAGATTAAGTTTTGTGTTTCAAAGTGTTAATATGTTAACAGAAATATAAACTCTAGTTTCACATCTAGGAAGAATAAGTATTTGTTTTAATAAAACAAGTAGGGTAACATTAAAGATGATTCGACCTCTTTACTGTTGTAGGTGAACAAGGAATCGCATCTGAGTGAAACTTCTTTAGTGACAAATACAAATAACTACTCGGAGAATACAAGCCAAAAATTCGATGTCAACTTGAGGGTGGACAAACATTGTAGCCCAGAATACAAACGAGAAAATAGAAGGCATCATCTTTCTTTAGAAAAGACAAAAGAACCAGAGAACGTGGTAAATATGCTTGTATCGTACAAGCGTTATTGTACAGATGTATCATAGAATACATTATAATGGTCTTTTTTTAAGATAAAATTATTGACTTACAAGAAATAAAATATGTTGATTTAAACCGTAAATTAAGTGAGATATGAGTTAAGTTTTTGTGTTCAGATATGTATCTAAGTGAGACATGCATAAACAAAAATGTTTTATTTGTTAAACAAAAGTTAAAGTGTTATTAAGAATAAGTACACTAATATAAGTATAATGTGTATTATGTATAAAATTCAATTTTACCTCACCATCCACACTTTACATTAAATTAATTATTTTGCAAATTTATAATTTACCTGTTTTAGCAATCAAAGGACTGATGAATCTTTGTTCAATACAAATGTCTGCCTCTATCATGTTTGTATGCTTTCATTTCAAAAGTAAGTCTACTTTTCCATTATTTTTTCAAAATAATTAGATTAGTATATGAAATATATATATATGTATATACTTTTAACTTTTACTTTTCATAGCAACCTGAAAACAGTTTTGACTCCTTACCAAGAAGGCCTAATTCTTCTCAGTTATCTGTCTACACAATGACTTTTGAAAAAGGCCCAGGATGTAAGAGTCTTGGATTTAGTATTGTTGGAGGGAAAGATTCACCTAAAGGAGAAATGGGTATATACGTAAAGACAATCTTTTCAACAGGACAAGCGGCAGAAAGTGGAAAGCTGAAGGAAGGTGAGAAAAACAAATTCTCATACACTGAAGCTTGCTCTGTGTTTTTGCTTTAATTATTTAGGATACATGTTGTGACAATGACTTGATTTTGATTCTATATAAATAAAAATATTTCTAATTTGTGACACACAATTTAACACCTGTTTAAAAAATATATAGACAAATTACCACAAAAAAAAACACACACACACACGGTCATAGTTATGACCACATTTTGATAGAGCATTGTGTAAAACATTAATGGAATATTACTTTCTCTTCTACAGTTAGGCATCACTCAAGTAATAATAA